TTTTTTGATATTTCTGGTATCATCATAGCAGCTTCTTGATGCCTTCCGCGTAGAAGCTTTCGCCTTGACTCTGAAACCAGTCATTGACAGCGATCTGTACCTCTGAATCGGTTGAAAATCGCTTCCATCGTGGAAGTTTTTCCGCTCGGGAACAAATAAAAATCACATGAAGCTGAAGTACGAAAGTTTGAAGGATTGGGGGAAAATTTCCCTACGCAAAGCAACTGATTTGGGAGTGCAGATCGCTGTCAATGACTAGTTTCGGAGCCAAGACGAGATCTTCTACGCGGAGGGCGTCAAGAAGCTGCTGTAATGATTCCAAAAATGTCAAAGAAGATGTGGAGACTACATCAAAAAGTAAGGTAACTACTACTAACTACTAGTAAGGTAGTTACTCAATTAAAACTTTAAAATTTCTTGTTGATGTGATGTATAGAGGCGATAACCCGAGTCTTCTATAATCGACTCTCCGCGCATCCTGATCCCAGAGGTGGGCACGCGGCGACAGGAGGTTGTCTCAGTAAAATTAAGTTTACTCGCGAACCCCTTGACCGATTTTCAAAAACTTGAGTTTGTTTTAAAGCTTAGAGTAAGCCTAATATGTGTCTTTTTACCGATTTGATTTATCTCTTTTCGTTCGGAAGATACAAGGTAGGGAAACTTACTTTTTGGATGACCCTCGTATTTCGGTACTTGAAGTTTTTTATGAGTTTCTTCCCTGGTAAAAGTGAATCAGCCTGACGGCAGGCTATGTTTCATAAACTATCCTGAGTCAGACTGATTCAGGCTGATGTCAGACTGATGCCAGACTGATGTCAGCCTGAATCAGTCAGACTCAGGGTAGTTTATGGAATATAGCTTGACGTCAGGCTGACTCACTTAGGGTTATTTTATAAACAACTGTAAAATTACTGTGAAAATATAAAATTACGGGGGATGAAGCTAAACGTGTCAGAGTGCGAAGCGTGCGGGTGAAAAGAATCTCGGTTGGCGTTCTTACCTATCTCTGATTCGGATCAAGCGGAGCGTGGACGGCGGTGGCGGCTGCGGGAGGTGCGAGGGCGGGAAAAGCGCGAAAATCTCGGCCGGAAAGCGACGAAATCGCGGAAAAACGCGCGGGCGGAAAAGCGCGTGGAAGGCGGCGAATCGGACGAGCCGGGCGGGCGGCAAGCGCGGTTTTGTGCGGATGTAATTGAGCAAAAGCTTCCCGCGCTTCCACGTTCAAAAGAGCGACTGCACACAATAACCGTCGTAAGACTGAGCTTCCAAGTTAACGTCCCGCGCTGCCACGTCATCCCGGAAAACGGCTACGTCATCGCGGCTCACCGGAAACGACAAAATCCTGTGTCACTCTATTAAAGCTAGCCATCAAAATATCAAGGTCAGGTGTTGTGATTGGCTAATTCGATGACTTGAACCAATCACAGCACTTGACCTTGATATTTTTATGGAGTATTTTGATAGTGTGACACAGGCTTCACACTGCTTGGTCAAGGAAACACTGGATCAAGTTTAGGTTGAATTGAGGGTAAGGAAGTCTGTGCAAACGAGGAAAAAACACAAAGAAACCTGGCCCTAACAGTGCGTAACAATGGATGGTAAAATGGACCGAGTTTATCAGAAACGAACAAACCCACATCAAGTTGATACTGAGAAAAAGAGGTTTGAAATTATATTCCTCCATAAGACTCAATGTAGAAAGTAAATTTTAACCCAGCTTTTCACAAACTAATGCTTTGTTTTCGACTTTGAACTTTTAGCAGAAGAAAATATACAACTAGAGGAACTCAAAAACATTCTTAATTCAATTTTTTTAAAAATGTAGGTTCGTTCCTTTCTGAAGAACACGGTCCGAATGGTGCTAGGTCCACACTATTTTGCGGGGAAAACGAGGTCAAAAAGTTCAAAAATTTCAATTAGAGTCAAAAAGTTTGACTTCTAATGAGTATCGGTACTTACAAGACTGCGACATTAGAGCTCAAAATTGTTGACTCAAATTGAAATTGTTGAACTTTTTGGGCTTGCCCCCCCCCCCCCCAAAGTATATATCCAGCACTATAGATTAGCTCGCTATTTTCAGATTTTTAAAACATAACTCACGGAGACCCCTTAAGCAGCCCCTGGGGATCGCAATCACTAGTATACCTTTGAGAAGGGCCAAAACAACTATGAAGAAGAATTTGAAAAATTTTGAACTGATGCCCTTTTATCAGAAATCGGTTAAATTTAAATATCAATGTTTCTACTTTTCCGGCACTAGTTGACAACGACGCCATGGAAGCTCCGACCCAGCAACAAAGGTTACACCCTGGGCCTGGTACTCAGGATCAAAAGCTCGACTTTGATGGTCCGTTGCGACCACGCACCAACGCCTAACCCGGGGCTCACCTGTACCCTCCAACAACAACCCCTCCCCCTCCCGCCACCGGTGTGGTTGCGGGTCGCGGATGTGTTTGTGAATGAATTCATTCACACCGGATGAATTTGTGCGATGCGTTTGGTCGATTCGATTGACGGGTCGTTTACCATCGCTGCCTCCTGCTTACGCGATCGAATTGGTCCAATTACACTCTTGTATATGCCCGTTTAATGAGCAAGGGAAAACGTGAAAGAGACCACCGCGCATATGGCGATGATTTTCGCAAGTTTATGGGTTTATGAGTGGGGAAAACTAGCTATCTAGTTAGACTGGACTGAATCAAACGGAAAAGAGCTGGGGCTCATTTGGGGAAATAATAGAATGATTTGGGATAATTTTGGGGAATGAGGAAATATACTTCATTATATATATACTTTCAACAACTTAAAAGCTTTCCCCTAGTAGAAAAATTAGGCAAATCTACACACAGTATCTCATTATCAATTCACTATTTATACAATTATATAGACTTAAAACTTTTTTTGGCAAAACCGATTACTTATACGTAACTTACGTACATACTTTTACGTAAACTTATAAGTAATCGGTTTTGCCAAAAAAAGTTTTAAGTCTATATAATTGTGTGTAGTGCCGATAAAATTTTACAAGTGCAATATGCAACAATATAGTGGTCACTATTTATAGTACATCTCATAAATCCCAGCTCAACTCACCGAGCTTTTTCGAGCTTAACTCAGCCGCACATTTTCTCATGTCATTTCAAAGCCAAGAAAACATATTTTAATCGTGACGACATGCGTTGAAATTTATCTCTAACGTTGCGTCTAATGAAGAAATAAAACTTTAAACTTTAAACGTTCCTTCTTGTTAAACTTGACCCACCTTCCGTTATCATTGCCGTTCCGTGAAAAAACCTTTCACCTCAATAGCGATCTTATTATACTTTCTCGGAAGTTGTTCATATTTTTAGAAAGATTTGTGCATTTTCTTCTCACTCTTAGCCATCAGTGGCGAGGGCTGAATGATCTATTATCAATATTTCAAAATTTGAAGCTTTGGTATAGAACCGATTATTAAGGTGTTCATTGCGAACACCCTATTTATCGATACTTTTCCGTAGATTTGAATGGCAGATCAATTCATATATCGCAAAGCACGCCACGCCACTTTTGTCCTTGAATTTAAGGTGAGGGACACTTAACCGGTGGCTGTGAAATTTAGGAAGAGCGGAGGGGTCTCACAGTCGTAGGCACTATGTATGAGCGGGTGGTTACGGGTGGTGGAGGAGGGAAGGGTTGGAAAGCTCGCACAAACCACAGTAACCACAGATGGCGTCGCAAATTTCCGGCGGGCCCAACAAAATCCCCCAGTGAGACGGAAGTGAAACTGTCGGAATTGTGTGAGAAGCGACAACGCTGCCGCAGTCACAGTTGTAAAAGAGCAGTTTGAGCCAAATGTAGCTGGATCACGACACTGAGAAACATCAGGACGATAATACCCTATCTTTACTACGTTACGACGCACTTACAAATTGCAGGATAATCATCCACGCAATCCCTTAACAGATGCATGCCCAGTTAACGCCGACAGTTATAATTCAGCGGGGCTTTTTCATGAGGAGAAAAATAGATTGTTGGATTAATATTAAATGTATCGCTCTCGGTCTTGCAAGAAGACAGAGACTTGATATTTTAGCGAGAATCCGGTTACTTTGTTGAACTGCCTCCACGCGACAGAGAGTAGAGGAAAAGAAAGAGTTGGGGAATAATTATTCGTAGTGTCCAAGGGGCCGTTCAAGTATATGTAAGGCACTTAAGGGGGGGGGGGGGCGTCTGGGCTTGCCTTACAGGATTTCACGAGACGGGAATAGGGAGCGTAAATTACGTAACGCAATTTTTCGGCATTTTTGACCCCCCTCTCTCCCCCCATTGTAACGTTTTTGTGGCGTAGGTCCCTATCCATTAACACGTAAAAAGAAAATGGCGTAACGCCCTACCCAACCCCCTCCCCCTTAGGCGTTACGTAATTCATGGACGGCCCCATAGCAGGTCAAACTCAGTCTTACGTAAGCCTCCTTACTTCAAATACGTTTCACTCAAAATGGCTAATAACTCAATTGATTTTTTTTTTTTTTTTAAATTGTTAGTTAACATCTGAATTCCGTCGTACCCATTTAAAAGTATAATAATGTTGACGGACTTGATAATCAAGATGTTATGAAAACTTTTTCTTACCGATTTGTCCAAATTTTGATGCTTTTACTTTTCCACTCTCCTATTTTCCTATTTTTTTTTGTGAAAAAGTGAAAGCGTCAAAATTTGGACAAATTGGTAAGAAAAAGGTTTCATAACATCTTGATAAATATGACCGACAAAGTCACCAAATAAAAGAAGTTATATCAACTGGACTTGATGATATTGCCCCATGAGTTACACTTGCAAAAATATTTGCTTACTATGTAAGCGTGGCATGTACAATCGAGTAAAAACATAAATCAGGGCATGAACGTGTTCTCCTCTTCACCCACGTTGATTTCAATATTAGCATTCAATGATATTCTGTGATTGCAGTTTTTATGATTTATTACTTTGACCGATGAAAATGAAAAGTCAATATTTACCCATCGCTCTTGATGGATGGCAGCAAAGCAGAATCTCCTCTTTCGCCATTGTCGTTCAGCGCCTTTTTCGGTTTTATATTCACGCTACGCCAACTTTCAGTGCTCTTCTGCAACAAAGTAGAGTGCAAATTTTAGGAGTAAAATTCTTCCTTCGGACTAAGATTATTAATTTCATAATTCTTAGAACTCGTTACTTTTGTATGACTGCTCCTTCTCATAAATCTCTTGAGGATAGATCAACAGGGATGAAAAATATTTACGTATTAGGTTTCTATCAATATGTGATCTCCACGATATATTCTGCCGTGCTAAGGAAGAACGCCGTATGAGCCTTCAGACGTTGCCAGATTTCCTCTTGCAAATCACTATAATTTTCAGGAATTTTTTTAATCTTTTTCTGCCGCTTTCTCAGATAATTCTTTTGTAATTTGATCTAAAAGTATCTGAAAATTTCAAGGAAAAATATTCATAATTTTCCTAAAAAATAAGCATTTTATCCACGGAAATTTGGCAACTCTCGAATGTTCATACGACGCTCTTCCTTAGGACGGCAGTAGTGTTGTCAGTTCCAAACTTCCGGCCATTTGGACCATTTGGACTGCATTTTACTATAAGGAACTACAAGTTTTGGCTCATATACCTAAAAGTATACACCTATCCGTTAGAGAAACTAATTGTTTCTAAAATAAGTCTCAAATTGTCTATCCTAATTGCGGAACATAGCCCAAATATAGTACCGGCCAGAGATGAATAATTCCTGTAATTTGTATGGAAAACATATTATTAAATTATTCAGAAGTTTTTGAGTTTCCTTAGTATTACGTAGGTATCGGACCTGAAATCGCACTTATTAACTTCCTGGAGTCAATTAAGATCAAATCTGATCCATATACATATTTATAAATAAAACTGAATTAGAATAAGATCATTGTTTGAAAACGTTATCTAATTCCTTCCGCACTATTGATGTTTCATATGATAGAAAAAAGGCGTCATTGAGAACAGGGCCGGATTAAGGGGGTGGCCGCATGGGCCGCGGCCTATGGCGGCAAATCTAGGAGGCGTCAAATCTTGCAATTGTTTTAAATGTAGGTATAAAAAAATCGGATTTAGAAAAAAAATTACAAACGAGATAAGGTGACAAAATTTCTCATTTCCTGAGAGTGTAGAAAGTTATAATTTTGTAGTCCTTCAGTGATACAAGAGACAGCACCTAATTAGTCGAGTTAAGAGAGAGAAACCAAACACACCATTTGGCCTGGAACAGCGCTACTTAGAGAGGAATGATGACTAGGACTTGCGATGTAAAGGAGAAGCCCTCGGCGCGGCCGGTCGGCATGTAACACATATTAGCACCTGCAAGACTGCATGAATACTTCACGCATTGCGTCAAACACAGTGAGGTTAGTAGCGGTCGACGTGAAACGCATAGCGCCTACAAGACTGTCGGAATACTTCACGCATTGCGCCAAACACAGTGCGGTCTGCGCAGCGCGGAAAATCGTTAAACCACATTTATGTTCGTTCTTTCATAATTTTTTCGTTCATTTCTTATGGATGGAAGGCCTTGTTCACACAGAGATAGGTTTACGAAACTTGACTTTCGCCCAAAGTTCCGTGACCTTTTGCTAATAGTGTTGACAGGGCTTTCCCAAAAAGTGTGTCCAACACGAGTAAACGCGTCTTATGCACCCCTTTCTCCTCCGACACGTTCACTTGATGGTTTTTATTGATGTTTCAAAACGAATGAGAAGGGGGCGGCAAAATACACATGGCCCATGGGCGGCAAGTAGGAAAATCTGGCCCTGATTGAGAATGAAATGGAGGAGTTAGGGTTTTTTGCATTGTTTTTTGTTTCAATGAGCGGGCTGCATATTCTGCCACTGATATGAATGTTTCATATTTTTCAGAAGCTTCTCATCCTTGTGAAATTTCATTAAATATTTCACGAAAATTTCCTATGTTATACATGTTTCTTTGTTTCATGCCATGCTGCATCGGACACGCATGTTGTTGTGTTTTTCTTCTTCTTTTTTTTTCCTTTTTCAAAACTCCTGTGGGTACCATGCTAACTTAATTTCACCCGACCATAGGTAGCCTGGGCCCTGAGATTCAAAAGACCCGTGGTGGTTGGACTAGGAAGAAAAAGTGTTGTGATGTCTGAGTTGAGAGCTTGAGAATTTTTCAGTAAGGTGAATTAAGGTAATCACAAATGAGAAGTAACATTAGATAGCACCTTTGCACGCCCGTTTGCTTGTTGCGGGAACACCTTCAGGTTACTAACCTAGTATTGATCAATTTCAATAATTCTAATGGTTGAAATTGACACATTGTTATTGAGGATAGCTTTCATGATACCTATATATACGTACAAACCGCTTTGTAGCACAGTGGCAAGGCGTGAATGATCGATTATCGATATTTCCCCGTTTGAGCTGTGGTAAAGAGTCGATTAAGTTTCCTATTGACTAAAGTTGTATTTTTTATGATTGGATTGAGTTGCTGAGATCATATAAGTTTTTAATGATCCTTGGGTATGGGTAGATTGCTGCTGCATAGGTGAATGTGACAGAATTTTTCCTTGATGAGGTAAGAAATTCAGGATGACATGAGAATAAAAATTGCACACATCGAAAGTTCGTTTAGAATTCGATGAGCACAGAACAAAATTGAAGGTAATACGAGTATCAACTTTTTGCCTAATAAATCTCCTCTGCTACAGACGTGTAATTTTTTCAGGCGAAATAATTTGTTTGACAATATCATGGAACTGTCCTCTAATTTTCCGAGCCTTTATAACAATTTTTGCCTTCAAATTTGTTGAGAAAATATATCTCGAGGTTCTTAAACTCTTACCCGCTCCAGTAATTTATTGAGGAAATCTAAACTAAACCCGTGGTCTGAGCGCGTGTCTGCTTCATTTGGGTACCGAGTCAATCCCTTCAATTAGAGACCCCTCGCTGTGGGGCGTTTAAGGCGCCGACGCGAAGAGAAGGAGAGGCAAATGTGCCTTACGCGATTTATATTCAGAGCTCAACATGCATTATCCTTAGTTCCATTGACGTAGGGTTTTTCAGGTCCATACATAAAACACATAGGTGCAATAGCTTAGGGTTCCTCACTAATATCTTTGAAAATCAGAGAAGAAGAAGAAGAAGAAGAAGAAGAAGAAGAAGAAGAGGAAGATGAAGAAGAGGAAGAAGAAGAAGAAGAAGAAGAAGAAGAAGAAGAAGAAGAAGAAGAAACAGAAGAAGAAAAACGGAAGAAGAAGAAGAAGAATCAGAAAAAAAGAAGAAAAGGAAGAAGAAGCAGAAGAAACAGAGGAAAAAGAAGAAAAAGAAGAAAAGGAAGAAAAGGACGAAGGAAAATATGAAAAAAAGAAGGTAGCAAAAGAAGCTGAGGTAGGAGAATGACTAGAAAAAAAGTTAGAAAAAGAAAAACAGGAAGCGGGAGAAGGGAGAGAAAAAGTAAAAGGGAATAAAGGACAAAAAGAGAAATGACTAGAAGGAGAATATCTTTTCCTTCGTCTTTTTTCCCCTCATCTTCCTCTTTCTTTTTACCTTGTTCCTCTTACCCATGATCTTTATCATCCTCCTCGTCTGCCCTCTCTTCCTCTCCTTCTCTTGCTTCTGATCTCTTTTCTACCCTGATATCTTCTGATCCCCAACTGATCCTGAGCCACAGCACAAGTGTTTTACTTTCAAATCTCCCCAAGTGGGGATTCAAAAGACCCGCGTCTGTCAGACCAGGGTTCCACACACAACGCATACTCAAACACATACTTTAAATAACGGAAAGCAACGGAATGCGTCACATATCGATGTAACGGAATTGAGCTGCTTGAGATTTATTACTGGGCGAGGGGCTGAACCGGGGAAGTCGAAGAAAATCCATACGACCATAGCCAGTTCACGCATTAATCTAGTCCAAGCCTGCCATGCGTGCCATTTTTAATTGCATTACGCCGTTACGCCGCGCCGGCCGGACAACCTCCCCCTTCCTCCCCTACGCTCAACCACCCCGTTCCCGCCCCCGCCGCCCCTACTTATTGTGTAACTTATCTTAGAGCACCTCGTCCAAGAGCTTCGGACTTTCTCTTTGCTCCCTTTCGCACATGCTCTCCCCCTTTCTCTCCACCTTTTGTTCCGGCTCCCCTCCGCGTCCGCCGCTCGGACCTCTCTTGTTTTTAAACTCCCCCCGCCCCCAACCCCCACTCGGGTCCTGGCTCCGGCCGAGGATGAGGGCGAGGGGGATGCGAGACGCTGGACCGTTCGTTAGGGCGCTAATTAAAAGGAGCGATATGCCGGAATGTAAATATTCCTCCTCCGAGGGCGTAGCTCAAGTATCGGTGAAATTTTTAGTCGGTGTCATCGCAGCGCGCCCGCGTTGGCCGAAGCGGAGCGGGCGATCGATTCGCCGGCCGCGGGTGCCGCGGGCGCGGGCCAGCGCCTCAGCGCCTCCCTTTTTGCATACATTATTCGCCCGGGGAACGGATCTGGAGCCCGCGCCAGGTCCGGGGCCAAGATTGAAACTTTAGAGCTGGACGCTCGCGCTCGGACCGCCGCCCCGGCCGCGCCGCCGACGACATCCCCCATCTCCGATTCACTCCCTGCTCTTCTCCTGTCGTAGTGAAGAGAGCAGTAAGTGTTAAATTTTCAAAATCGAGTTTTCTTCAAAATTCGTCTAATCTTTTTTAGATGATACCCTTGAAATATCTAAAACAGCAAAATTCATCTTAATTGTATGAAAACGAGACATGAAAGAAAACCGTAAGTGCGCAAGAAATCACGTAGTTTCAGGCAAGACAGCAGAAAGTGACATTATTCCTCCAGAGAGCCAATGAAAACAGTGCTTCCAAGAAAAGCTCAATTCACACTATCAAACTTTTCATCCGATATAATTGAACGAAAAGCCGGATGGTAAGTTGGACGTAAAAAAATTTGATTCGATTACCGTTGCAGTGTGATATCGTCAACAGTCTGCGGTTCACGAAAATAAAGCTTCGGCTCATATCGGTCGGAGGAATTTATTCCAACTTTTCGTGCAATTTTCCGTCCGATTTTTCAT